GGCGGCCCCGGGAAGGTGACCCGGCCGGCGCCATGGCTCTGCACAGACCGGCCGCGCTCGTGGCGCTGATGAGCGGGCGCGGGGCCAGGACGCTGCGGGGCCAGGTGGGACGGGAGCGCGGGGCTGGGCCCCGGGGGCACCAACCCCTCCGCGCCCCCTGGGTGGGAGGACCAGCCCCCACCCACGTGTGCGTGCGCAGATCAGCCGTGCAAACCTCCGCGTGTGCATGTCCGTGTGGGGATCAGTTATGCCAGACTCGGTGTGAGTGTGCACGTGGGTGTGGGTGCAGATCAGTCGTGCAAACCTGTGTGTGTGGGGATCACTTATGCGAAGCTGTGTGTGTGTATGATCAGCTGTGCAAATGTGTGTGCAGTTCAGATGTGCAAACCTGTGTGTGTGCATGTCCATGGGATCAGCTATGCCAGACTCTGTGTGTGCATGTGCCCGTGCATGTGTGTGATCAGCTGTGTAAAGCTGTTTGTTTGTGATCGGCTCTGCAAATGTGTGCATGTGTGGGTGCAGATCAGTCGTGCAAACCTCTGTGTGTAGGGGTCAGCTATGCAAAGCTGTGTGTGCATGTGCATGTGTGTGTGTAAAGCTGTGCATATGATGAGCTGTGCAGACCTGTGTGTGCGCATGTGGGGATCAGCTATGCCAAACTGTGTGTGCATGTGTACGTTCATGTGTGTGTTTGTGATCAGCTGTGCAAATGTGTGTGATTACCTATGTAAAGCTGTGTGTATGCATATGCATGTGTGTGTGCAGATCAGCCGCACAAACCTGTGTGTGCGCGTGCACATCTGTATGTGTGTGATTAGCTGTGTAAAGCCGTGTGTGTGTGTATGATCAGCTGGGCAAAGCTGTATGTGCATGCATGTGTGTGTGTGTGTGTGTGTGCCTATGTGGATCAGCGTGCAAAGCTGTGTGTGTGCATATGCATGTGTGTAAATTGGCTGTGCAAAGCTCTGTATGTAGATCAGTCATGCAGAGCTATGCGAGTGCATGTGTGTGATCAGCCATGTAAAGAAAATCTGTGTGTGCATACGTGTGTACACCGGCTGTCCACGTGTGTGTGTAGATCAGCCATGCAGAGCTGTGTGTACACTTGTGTGTGCCATTAGCTGTGCAGAGCTGTGCATATATGTGTGTAGATCAGCTGTGCAAAGCTGGGGGGCGTGCACAACTAGGGGGGTCAAAACTGTGCAAAACTGCCCCCTCCTCCCCCTGCTTGCCAGCTATGACCACATGCATCCAGCTCACTGTCCCTCCCTGCTGCTTAGTGGCTTCTTCCCATTGTTCTGGTGCCCAGGGCAGCGGTTCTCAATCCCCTCAGACTTGAGACCCCCCTCGGGACTAGTTTTTTTCACTACAGAAAAATCCTAGAGTCATTCTTCAGTTGCAAGGAGCAGGGCAGGAGGCCTTCAACCCTGGGAACTCCTATTGGAAATCTCTGCGTTTGTGAATCTTGTTTGGATTCACAATGTTTGCACACTTTATGGTGCCCAGGGTGCTACAACATCCAGTTGAGAATCCACCTCCTCCCTCAGCCCCCATCTCTCCTGGAGCAAATGGAAGGGTAGGATGTCACAAAGCTGGGGGAGCCGCATGTGATCAGCACCACAGGGTTGGGACTTTGACCCTGACAATAGTTCTCTGTATGTAGTGACGTAGGAACCTGCATCCCAGGGACTTTCAGTGGTCTTTGTCCTCCTGCCGGATTCAATGGCCCAGCTCCTTCAATGAACTGAAATGCCTGACTCCTGGGAGCCCAGAATACCTACGAAGAAGTGGGCCTAGGGACGTTTGGCAAAAGCAACTGTTTACTGTAATTATGTATGCCATTCTGCATACTATTACTACTATTATTATTACTAGTATTGTTGTTATAATATTATTACTATTTTAGATCCATGATTAAGTCTGCTCAGTGTCTGTTGTGCATGACTGCTTTATGCTGAAGCAACAACTATTAAAAAAAGAAAAAGAAATCAAATAGTCCCTATGGTCTTTAGCATATTGATGAAGTGTTACACCCCACGGGGCTTGAGTAGCAGGGCCTGGTCAGGCTGGTGACTTCTGCCATTGGTTCTCAAGAGAAATGTGACAACCCCAAGGGTCTGAGTCCTCCATGGGGTCGGTGCTAATGGGTTGTAAAATACTAACAGTTAAGGATGGTAGCATCTCGCACCCACTTTGTATGGAGGTGAAGGATACATCCCTGACCCACAGTCAGGGGCGACTGCTGGTAGGTTATAACTTCAGTAGTTGTTTTAATATCATTGTCTGCTAGTAGAGCTTAGGGTCTTGGCTGCGATCAAGGGCCCGTTGTTCCAGGCTTTGCACAGATACGTAATGAAAGGCAGTCCCTGCCCCAGAGCTTGCTATCTTATAGGCAAGGAATTGGAAGCAGCCATCCAGAGTGTGGAAGAGACTAACCCAGGTTCCTACAATTTGTTGGCCTTGGAGCAGGCACAGGACACAGCTCTCCTGAGTTGCATTTTAGCACTTGGCCCATTAGAGTAGTGGGAGCCAATCTTTTTGTTAGGCACGCCACAAATTAGCCCTGCACACTTCTCCAGTACCACTCTGATCCCCTTCCTCCCCGCCCCCTTCCTAATTGGCTGCTCTACTTTCTGCTTCCTGTCCTCTGCTCCCTGCCTGATTTGCTGCTCTGCTTTCTGCTCCCTGCCCTATCTCCCACTGTGCTGCTTGGCTCTTCCCTGGTCCACTGTGTGCCACATACAGAGGATGCCCATGTCACTTGTGGCACTTGTGCCACAAGGTGGCCATGCCCTGCACTAGAGGCTTTGGAGGCCCTTTTCTTCCTGGTCAAGGAGAGATTAAAAAAAAAGTGAGAATGTTTTCTTTTTTTCTGGGTCACTTTGGAATCTCACAAGTAGAAAGTGCTCAAGTGCTTCTGTGTTGAGACTAAAGTGACCAGGAAGGGAGGTCCCTCCTTCCCCAGCCCCCCTTGTTTACTGACTGCATATAGTAGAAAAGAGTTTTAATTACTTTTAAGAAACAAAGCCCCTTCCCAAGCCGCTGCAGCTCTGGCATCTTCACATCACAACTTCACTGGCAGTAAATATGTGCATGTTTGCAGGACATTTTTGCCATCTCCCAGAGATAGAAGAACCCTCCCAGTGAGTTTCTGGGGGTACATTAATAATAATAATGCAGTATCCTGAACGTGTTTGGTGCTGTAGACTCACAGTGATATGCAGTCCTGTCACAAAGACTTTGCCATAGAAACAAAGGATGGTTTAGAGCGAGAACAGAAGCACGTAGAGCTTAAGGGACTCACCCAAGGTCACTCAGCAAGGAAGTGCCAGTCAGGCATGGATCCCAGGTTTTCTGACCCTTGGCTATGCCCTGTTTACTAACCCAGGCTGCCCTGCTGCTGTTATAATTGATCAGTGCTTTGGTTTCTTGTTTCACCCCTTCCCTCAGGAGGGAAGAACAAAGAGGTCTTAAAAAAAGAAAAATCTTTTTATTTCCCTCCAGGCTGCATTTAACCTAACCGGGCAGATTCTTTACAGCAGAGCCTGAGATCTGAGCTCCCTTTCTCCCCCTTGTTGTCCACAGATAAGGAAATCTTCAGAGTCCTCCACGCCCCCTGCCCGGCCAGCAATTGCAGCCAAACACCCGTACCAAGTGGACTTGGAAGCAGGGAAGCTTTATGCCTGGTGTGCTTGTGGCCACAGCAAGAAACAGGTAACTCCCCCGATTGTTCTATATTGCTTGTCATCTCCCTGCCCCATCACCCCTTCACAAGTCATACAGCTCTAAAATCATCTGCGTTAGCCTAACTAGTCCAACCCTGCTTGATCTAAAAGGCCACCCCTGTCTTACTCAAAAACTCTTAAAGCTATTGGGATTCCTGTACACTGTGTCACATTGCCCAGTGTTCCTCACACGTTTCTGGGCTGCGTGCCCCTCTGAAAGTTTATTGTACTGTGTTGTACCTATATGAGCGCGTGCTGTCGCTGCAATGGCATAAGAACCTCTTCCACCAGAGGCCTCTGAGTTGTTGTTCATTCTCTTCATAGAATCATAGAAAGTTAGGGTTGAAAGGGACCTCAGGAGGTCATATAGTCCAAAGCCCGGCCAAAAGCAGGCCCAGCCCCAACTAGATCATCCCAGCCAAAGCTTTGTCCAGCCAGGTTCTGAAAACCTCCAAGGATGGAGCTTCCACAGCCCCTCTGGGTAACTTGTTCCAGTGCTTTACTGCCCTCCTAGTGAGAAAATTCTTCCTAATATCTAATCTACACTTGCCTTGCTGCAACTTGAGACTATTGCTCCTTGTTCTGACATCTGCTACCACTGAGAACAGTCCAGCTCCATCCTCTTTCAAACCCCTCTTCAGGTAGTTGAAGGATGCTATTAAATCCCCTCTAGTCTTCTCTTCTCTAGACTAAATAAAGCCAGTTCCCTCGGTCTTTCCTCATAACAACCACATCCTTTCTGTAGTGAGGGGCCTAAAACTGAACACAGTACTCCAGATGTGGCCTCACCAGTGCTGAACAGAGGGGAACAATCACTTCCCTGGACCTGCTGGCAACACAACTACCAATGCAGTCCAGTACGCCGTTAGCTTTCCTGGCAACAAGGGCACACTGTAGGCTCATATTCAGCTTATTGTCCACTGTAGCCCCCATGTCCTTTTCTTCAGAGCTGCTGCCCAACCACTCAGCCCCCAGCCTGTATCGGTGCATGGGATTGTTCCCTCCTAAGTGTAGGACTTTGCTCTTGTCCATGTTGAACTGCATAAGATTTCTTTTGGCCCAATCTTCCAATTTGTCTAAGTCACTTTTCCTTTTGTTTTTCCATTCCTTCTTCTTGTGTACCCACAGATAGCGTTGTACACCCCTCAAGACTGTATGTACAGCAATTTGAGAGGCACTGCTCTAGTCCAGTGGTTTTCAACTTGTGGTCCGCAGACTCCTGGAGGTCTGCAGACTATGTCTAAGAGGTCCGCAAAAGATTACGCTGATTGATCAAAAGTATGTGAATATCCACATTTATCATTAAAAGGGGTCTGCACCACCATTCAAGATTTCCAGAGGTGTCCGCACCTCCATTCAAAACGTTTTAGGGATCTGAAAAAAGGTTGAAAACCACTATCTAGCCCAGTAGTAGGTCTCCAAGGTTGGTAGGTGCTGGTAGTAGGTTCAGAGGAAGGAGCAAGAAGGCCCCCTGGTGGACAGTTCAGGATTAACCTGGCAATAGGGCAGTGTCTTCTTGATAAGGTCCTGCTGTGCCGAGCCTGCTGCCCATCAGTTAGTGATGCCCTGTGCCATGAAGGAGGAAGACTTCTAACAGTTACCATTATTGTATTTTAATTAACTCACCCCTGGTTGAGGCTGGTAGTAGCCAGAGGCTGGTGTTTTAAGGCTTGGGTCTGTGAGATCATTATGGAAATTCACTGGTGAATAAACTGGCTGCACCTTAGCCTGAATTCTTCCCAGCTCTGAGCTATGATAGCCCAAGGCGGACTCTGCTGGCCTAATACACTCCCTTCTCTTCCCATTTAAAGCTGGGGCTTGTTGAAAGGTGGAGCAAGGTCCATTGTTTGCTCTTCTTATTTGGAAATTATTGTGATCCCGAATGTTTCCTAGATGTTGCACTGAAAGGTCAACCCTAAATGAGCATAGTAAATGCAACCATTCTCCATCCACTTCTGTGACAAAACACCTTTACATTGCACTTGCTTCCAAAGCCCCAGCCAGGGTGACTGTCTTCCAGAATCTGACCACTGTTGTCCCCTGTGGCAGGTTAGGGTGTTTTGCCTTGTGGTTGTGTCAGAGTTGGCTGTGTAGTTTTACTAATAGGTTAGAAAGTGGATTTGGATAGGATGCTTTGGATAAGGATGATCTTACCTCTGGCAGGGAATTTGACTAGATCAATGGGAGCCAACTGGGTCAGACTTGATGATCTGCTTGGGTCCCTTCCGACCCTACAAACTATGAAACTGTTCTGGCAGTCGTACACAAATAAGCACTAAACCCTCATCAAGTGCCACTCCAGCCCCCTTCCTCTGCCCACTCTGGTCCTCTGCTTTCTGCTTCCTGCCTTATCTCCTGCTCTGCTTTCTGCTTCTTGCCCTATCTGCTGCAGTGCTGCCCATCCCCTCCCCAATTTGCCATGTGCCACACATGGAGGCTGCCCATGTCCCTTATGGCACTCATGTTGTAGGTTGACTCTCACCCTGGACTCAATAACCTCTGGAGAAACCTTCAAGCCCTATTTTTTCTTTGATTCTAATGCAACATGTTAAATGTGCTGTGTGGGAGCTGAATTTTACCTGTGTTCTCTTAGAAGCCCTCCCTGCCTGTGAACACTTGTGTTGCACCTTCCAAGCAGGTGGCCGCTGAAGTGGCATTTGTTGATCCAGAGTCTCTTCTTAGTTGTCTTAGTCTCTGCTTCTAGGCAAAGAGAATGAAATGTCCTAATAGGAACATTTTATTGTCTATCTGCAGTAGCTGGTACTTTCCTCTGAACAAAGTTCCAGATTTCTAAGGCTTCGTCCAGGGCAGTGGTGTTCAACCTTTTTGCATTTGCAGACCCCTAAAAAATTTTGAAAGGAGATGTGGACCCCTTTGGAAATTCAGGCGGAGGTGTGGACCCCTTTGCATTGTAAGTGTGGATTTTAACATACTTTTGATTGATCAGTCGAACGGTCACAAACTCCTCCATGACTGTTTCAGGCTGAACATAAGGAAGACCTTCTTTATTGTCCGAGCCCCCAAGGTTTGGAATAGATTGCTGCCGGAGGTGGTTCAGGCACCTACTCTGAACGCCTTGAAAAGACATCTGGATGTTTATCTTGCTGGGATCTTATGATCCCTGCTGACTTCCTGCCCGTAGGGCAGGGGGCTGGACTCGATGATCTTCCAAGGTCCCTTCCAGCCCGAATGTCTATGAAATCTTTTATGGACCCCTTAAACAGTCTGTGGACCCCCAGGGGTCCACTGATCACAGGTTGAAAACCACTGATCTAGGGGACTGATGAAGCTTCCACTGCCTGATTATGACAGGGCTTTCTTGGGATCCTGCAATATCTGCAGACTCTGTCAGAGTTGTAATGTAGGCACAAGAGATACAGCAGGTGGCTGTGATGTGAAGGCCTCGCCACCTGGGGTCTTGATGCTGTCAATGCAGATAGATAAGCAGAGCTGGTCATTGCTAAGGGCAACAGTAACTATTGCTACTAATGACAGAGCCTCTTGTTCCTGGTTACAGTCAAGTATAAAGACCTAGTAGGGGTTGTCAGTGAATTCTCCTTCATGGTCTTTCACAAAGACCGGGTTCTTCCCCCTGCCCGTGCAAGCCCTAGTTCTCAGTGAAGCTGCTCGGAGTTCCAGAGGAGCCCGGCTTTGGTACGTTTGTTTCAAATTATGGGGGAAATGTGTCACATTTAATGGTCACGACTCCCGTGGATTGGGGATCAATGCAAACTCCAGAGGTGAAATGGCCAATGTTGTGTCACAAGACTTGCTGCTCCCTTGCTGTCCTGTCCTTTACCCCTCTATAAAGAGACAAGTGTGACAATGATGTATCCTCAGACACCTCATGGTGATCTCTGGTGAGGGAAGGGGAGAGCTAGGGAAGAGGAGAAGTCTCTAATGATTCCCCATCTATTATGGAAATGCAGATGGGCCCTGACATGAGATTTTGCTACCTCATCCTGAGGGAGAATAGGCCAGTGGTTTGGGTGCTGGTATGAGACTGGGGAGATGTGGGGTGACCTGAGGGGCTGCTGGTGTAACCTCGGGCAAAGGAAATCCTTACAGAGAGATCAGTGGGAATTAGGCATCTTGCAGCAGGGATGACACATCCCACCTGCCAGGAGCCATGAGGATCAACATGTGTGAGGATCAATATGCAAGAGACTTTGAGGCTCTCAGGCTTTTGAGGCTATCTGTACTCCAAAGAGAGAGGGAACTCCTGCCCCCTTGCTTGATCCCATGTGCAGGTCTCTCCTTCCCAGCAGCACCACCCTTGACAGCCCGGGTTTGCCAGCCTGCTAAGTACAAACTCTTCTTTTTTTTATTATTTTTTTGCTCTGCAGCCTTTTTGTGATGGATCCCATAAAAAAGCAACTCCAGGTATCACTCCCTTGAGGTTCAAGTTGGATGAGCCCAAGACGGCCTGGCTGTGTGGGTGCAAGCACACCCAGTCCCCACCCTATTGTGACAGCACCCACAAGGAGGAGTTCATTCAGAAGGCAGAACTCCCCAAACAGCCTTGAGGAGGTGCTTCCAGGACCTGCACCCATGAAGGGCCACACAATTTGTCTGGGGTTTCAAAGCCCTTGTGCCAACTGGGGCTTAGGGACTGCAGGAAGGACTCGGGCAGGCTTCCAATGCCCCCCAGCTCCTTGGGTCAGAGTTCTACATTGCTCAACATTGGTTCTCTCTTCATGTTATTCTACGCTGCCCAGGCTCATGAACCTTACAAACCCCAAGCTTGGGGCATCATCATCACCCAGCTGCCAAGATAAAATTAACAAGATCGTACAGAAAATGCCAGAACTACAAGGAATTGGGTTTGGTCAGCAACATCATCCCTGTGTGCAGTGTGACTCGAGCCTTGTCAAACAAATAAATCTCTGCAAAGAAAGCCCTAGCCTGGAGAAACAAATAGGGCATGATGTGCATGGTTTTAGGGCTTAGGACTCTTATCTGTGGGCATGACTGGGCTGTTCCCAGTCCTCCTTGTTCCCAGCCTCATCATCAGAGCTAGGTTTGGGCTGCTTTGATAGTTCTGGTTTCAGTTCCAGTTGAAGCTGTATCCCCTCCCTGCCCCCTAGCTGAGAGCAAAACAATGATGTGTGATGGTTTGTGGTAGTCAAATTAAGCATATGTATAAATGGTTGGAAGAGTGGAATCTCACTAAAGGGTCTGTAAAATGGGTTGGTGGACATCATCTCTAGGATGGAGAGAGAGAACCAGTTTGTGTCTCCCCTTGGGGGTGCCTGAGTTTATGTTGCAGATGCAAGAATGAGTTACCACTAGGTAAGCTAGGGTGTGAAATAGCGGCACATCAACTACTTGGCAACTGTGTGAGCACATTCTGGCCCCATGGTTAAACAGGAGGCAGCTTACCCCAGTTTAACTGAAGGATAACTTGTATGTGTGACCATCCCTTGAGTATAGCTTCCATGTGTTGGTTGGGTGACTCAGAAGTGGATTGGACATTTTCCCAGCAGAAGGGTTATTGATTTCTACCAACAGGGACTTTCAGCCAAGGAAGTTTCATTTGGGTATATTGCCGATCAGCTCCTTTTAACTTTAAACCATCCCCACTCCCCTAGCAGTGCAACTTTAACGCCCCCCCCCCCAAAATTTTAAGCAGGTGGAATTAGAAAAAAGTACAACATGTGTCACTTCCTTTATATCACTGTTGTCACCCTATCAGTTCCTCTTTCCATAGGCACCTGCAGGAAAGATGAGCTCTGAAGCATTTTCTAAAGACACATGTTGTATTGCTTTAATGATAGATACAATCCCCTCACTTCCCCTCCCACCCAGGTAGATGCAGTTATGCCAGTATAAAGGTGTTCATACCTTTATGAGAGGCAAGCTGTATAGATATAAGGTACCTTTATTCTGCTATACCTGCTTCCATGCTGGAGTATGTACCAACATAAAACAAAATGCACTGCTTACAGCAGTAAGCATCCTAGTACAAATTTGCAAATTGCGAGGCCTAACATAAGCAGGGAAAAGTTATTTCAAGCAACCTTTCAGGCCTTAGTAATGCATATAAAAGAAGCCAAAAGATCCCCAAGCCAACCACGTTCTTTTTTTTCCAGTCATGGTTTATTTTTAACACTTGAATTGTTGTTTCCTCTCTTGTGTCTGTTCTCCTAAGGGCATTTTGCAGATCGTCTGGGAGACTAATGGCTTTTTCAATGTCTTTTGAAAATGATGGACAGAGTTGTAACTGACAGCCTAAACTCACTACTCCACTGAGGGAAAAATTCACACAGGTCCTGAAGTCATTGGAATTGGCTCCAAAGTGCCTTAGAACTGGCTGCATAAACCAGTTTTACCACTTAGACTAAAAGGCTGATTTTTAGGCTGATTTACTTAAAATGGTTCAATGTTGATAGTGAGGACACTTATAATAGTTCAAAACTGGCTAATATTACTTTAGTCTGTGCCTGTGACTGCAAGCTAAACTGGTACGAGTATCTATGCCCAAAGTTGCCTTGGGTTTGCTAGGTCAGTGTAAAAGTTAAATTTCAGCATAGCATGAGGTCCAAGCTATGTCTGAGCTCTTGAAAACATTGCCCTTCAGCTCTAAGTCACTGCTGCTTTGTCATTTTCAGCAATGCAAAGCCATCAGATGGATGAGGTAAAACCAATCAGAATGACTGTGTTTTATACCTGCTTTGCTCTAGAGTGAATGAAGGCATAGGTTGCCAGGGCAACAGAGAATTAAAACCTTTCATCTTGGTTTACTAGGTATACACAAAACTAGGATGCCTGGATTCATCCAAAAGGTGGGGCGAGGGGGGAAGTGTTGCTGTTGATCAGGCTATCTTAACAGGCGTCTCTGGAAATCAGAGGAGATTATGTCTACCAGTGCTCAAGAGCAGGCTCTGCTCAAATAAGTCACTAGTGGGGGAATCAGACCTACCCCTGAGACTTCCAGACACCACTGCAGTATTAAACTAAGCCCAGTTGCCTTGCAGCCTGGAAGCAAGGTTGTTCTTTGTCCCACAGAATCAGCTTTCCCAGCCACAAAGCCATGCCTTAGGAGATGATGATGGGGGACCTGTTTCTCTTAAATGTGTGCTTTGATTGTGAAACCGTTAATAAAATACTGACATCCAACTAAATGGCTCCATCTCCATCAAGTCTGCAACCAGAGCAAGAAAGCGGACATGGCTCAGAGGCACCTTGCACGGTCCGGCCGCTAGAGGGAGACATAACCCTGCACTGGGGTTGAAGTAGGTTATAGGAGCTTTGCCGGAGGGACTTCACTTGAGCTGATGCCAGTGGAAACCCAGAGCAGAGCCCTGATCAGCCTGTGATGGGCCTGGGGCTGCGATGGGGGCCTGATTCCAGGGCAGTGCCATGCACTCACTGCCCAGATCTCCCCTGTCCTGAGCAAGTCCTGGCACCCACTTGGGCCACCCCGGGGCAAGAGGGGGATTGTGTTTCTTGGCTGCATTAAACCCCTTGCAATGAATGGGCAGGCAGCCCAAAGCAGGGGGCAGTGCTCTGCCCAGGGCAACACAATCCTTTTCAACTCCACCTCTGCAATGATTCAGGGTATCCTGGCCCTGGCAACTCTAAGGTTCATTTGTTTGGGCAGGAATCCGGTGGAAGTGATTCTAGCTGGAACAGTATCGAGGCACCAGCTAAAATCACTGTCTGCGTATGTGCCAACCCGTGTGGTGTATTTCCCTGGCCCACTTCTCATCTCATCCTCCCTAAATAGTTCTGACTGATTGGAAAATAAACCTGGGCACGATGCATCCCTTTTCACAAGTAGACCTCAGATTTCTCCCTGAGACAAAGCCCTTTTTCCTGGGATCCTACAGAGGGACAAGCCCATTGTCCCCAAAAGCACCTGTGAGGTATCCCAGGCTAAAAAACTGACAACCAGTTTAATTTGGCATTCAGTAGTCTGGGATATGACTAATCAGAAGCTTAACTGGTAATTAATCTGAATTAGCTGCAATTGTTCCAAGGCAAAGTGTTAATTCAGATCCTTCCCAGGTACTTCCCCACTTGTAAGGGCTGGGGTTTGCTGCAAGACAAGATGTTCAAATCTGAATCAAACCCAAATCCAAATCAAGCCAGGTGTCTCCTTCCAGCCTGAATGAACACTTCTTTCCTGGGGCAATGGGGCTAATTCGAGTTAACTGCCTTTAAATGTGTACACAACTGTCCTGCCCTGTTTGGATGGGAGTCAAAGCCCCCATCTGTTTGCACCCTAGAATTAGCCTGACTGCCCCAACAAAGGCTTTGTCCCAGGGCTCGAAATAGGCATGTCTGGCTGGGAAGGGGGTCAATGCAGCAAGTCCTCACTCAGTGACTGTAGCAATCAGCTGAGGTCACATTCCCCCTGCTGTTAAATGGGGCTGAGGAAAGTCCTCACCCTGAATGTGCCCCCTCCCTCCCACCTGCTGATTGCCCAGTCCCATGCTAGGGGATAGCTCTTAGGAAGCCCTCTGTGGCGGCAGCAGGGGATGCATCCCTCCTTTGGCATTGAAGCCTAATCTTATCTCCCTGCTACGGCAGCCTGTACAGACTCCACCCCCCATCCCAAACCTGGGCACCCCCTTATCGTCCCTTCACATCACAGGCACTGTCTTGGAAAACCTAGTGCTGGATTCTTATGAGATACCTAACAGGGCCTCTGCCCCTGGTGGGACATGCCAAAGCTGTCAGAAGCCAGCAAAGAGGGAAGAGCACCTCATCCTCCCCTCTGGAGCTAGGATGGCAGGAGCTAGCCTCAGACTTTAGAAGGCTGCTAAAAAATGCAGATGCTGGAAAAGGGTGTGGGTACCTGTGCCCATCGGAGCGCAGCTGCTAAAAGTTCTTTTTAACTGCAACCCATCCAAAAAATCAATCCCTATTACCCAACGAATGGGCTTGAGCTGAGATTAAAACCTTCCCCTCCCTCCCCACCCCCACCTAATGCCCCCCATTGGTCTGGGAGAAGGCAGGAGGGAATCAGAAGAAAATACAGATGACTGTTGATAGTATATTTTCCATCTGGACCTTCTACCCCCTCCCTCAAATTATTTTCCTGGATGGCTATTGAGTGCCTTGGGTATCAAGTGAAATCTAGGAGGACTGTTGCATGGCATAAAATGTTAAGGAGCCTTGGCCCATATGTGACAACAGCCCTTGTTAATTAAAAGGAACAAGGGCCTTTTGCTGGAGATATACAGACTGCCTGTAAAACTTGCTGTTTAGACTCTAGAGTTGTACTACTGGCACCATTGTTGGTGGCCTCCAGTAAAAGAGCTGCTTGTCTGGAAGTAGTCAGATTTGCTAAGGGCTTGTCCAGTTTCCAAAGAGCCACATTCCCAGGTGACACCATGGCAAAAGACAGATTCTCAAGCATTTTCTGCTTCTACAGATAGCTGGATCTTCCCAGAGGGTTGGTACACAAGGCACATAGCATCCCTAGAACGTTTCACCTTGTATTCACGGATCTAAGTGGGGAATGGGAGATGAACTGCTCCGAAATGCCGGCCTGGTGCATTGGTGCTCAGCACTATTCAAAACCTGGCCCATTTGGGTCAGTACATCATTGCTTTAGGTTCCAGTTCTGGGAGTCAAGCAAGGGCGTAATAAGCGTCCTAGACCAACTATCAGAAGTGTTGAGCCCCAGATCTAGTGGGGGATAGGGAAGAAATCATCAAATTTGATATTTTGAGTAGGATTTTTTTTTTTTTTTACCCAAAACACCATTTCTGCCTGTCCCCCACTCTATTTCTGGGGAATGTCATCCATTAATATATAAAATCCAGCAAGCTGAAATAAACACACAGCCTGTGTTCTGCTCTGTTTGTGCAGCAGCCAGAACCAAGGGGCCTGGATCTCAGTTGTTCTTGAAAACTATGGGAAGGCCTGGGTGCTCAGCACCTCAGAAAATCACCCTTTAGAGGCTGGATAGTCAAAAGAGCCCATGTCTCGTGTAGATGCCTACATATGGACCCCGAAGCTTGCATGCACTCTACAAGTGCTTCACTTGAAGCAAGTGAGGAGTCCTATGGGACTATTCATCTGGTCAGAGTTTAGGCTAGGTTTATATGCATAGAGCTGGGGTGTTGGCATATTGCGTTAGGAAATCTGGCCTTCAGTGGCTTTACATGAATGAGGAGGCCAGATATGAAAGATTTAGTCTGGTTTGTGGGGGCTCAGGTGATACAGAGCTGCACACCCTACCCTGCTCTACAAGGAAAAGATCAGGCCCTTTGTGGAAGGCCTCTGCTAATGAGAAGACAGGGAGGTATCAGCACAAGGACCTTGCTGAAAATTCATTTGCATCATTGCATGTGGCAGCCCTACTACCTCTGCCATTGTGCAGGCAATTGAAATCAGTTGCCAGAGGGATTTCTCTGATGGCCACTCTTGTCACTTGGCAAGAAAGAGAGAGAGCTGGAAAAAGTTGGCTCCCAGATGTGTGCATCAGGGCTGATGCCATCTCACTTTAAAAAATAGACACAGTTCTTTTTTTCTGGCCTGATTTATTGCTCCTTACGTGACAGAGGACACAATGGTTTGTCACTGTCTGGCAAGGAGTTTAGGAAGGGGGAAGCAAATAGAACAGGATTGATTTTTAAGAATCAGTCTTTCATTGGTAGAAGATTCATGGCAGGAGGGGAATTCTCTTTCAGGTAGCAGAGAAATCCAGGGAGAAAGATGGTCTCACAGTTTAAAACATTGGGCTGGATCCCAGGAGTTTGGCGTTCAAGTTCCATCCTTCCTATAGGCTGCCTATGTGACCCTGGGCAAGTCACATAGGCCATGTGGGTAAGAATTAAGGGGGAGCTCGGGGTGAGGGCTAAGCCCCCCTTCATAAGAGACAAGCCCCCTTTCCCCCCGCCCCGTAAGATTTGAAAATCGTAACCGGGGGGGCGGGTCTCCAACTGGATTACACCTTCACTTTGGTGGACTTGTTAATCAAGGACCTGGTTTAATTTTTTTGCAGACTCCCCCAAGAGTCAAAGTGTAATTCAAACCTTGGACATGCCACAGTTTCTGCACCAGTGTAAAAGAGGAGCAAACATACAACCTCATACCAGAGTAACTTGTGCTAATACCCCAGGCAAAATCAGGGATAAAACTACACCAGTAAAGGCACTGTGTGCCTGCATCTTTTCCCCAGAGCAGTCATTTACTGAAGACAAGCTACCCAATATGGGGGTAGCCAGCCCACAGTGCATGTTCCTAAGTGTTGCATGCAACTTCCCTGTGTGGCATACAAGCCCCAGGCACTTAGTAAAGGGAGGTGCAGGAGTGGAGGTAAGGAGCAGAGCACTCTGTTACAGCTGTCAGACATTGCCACCAAGAGCCAGGTTAACCCTTCCCTGAACCTGATGCCACTGCCAACTTCAAGGCATTAGATCTTTGGTCCCCATACAAAATTGTGTCAGCTGTGGGGCCAGGGAAGCATTAACCTGGCTCTTGGCAGCAACACCTCCTCTCACAGCAGCATCCTTCCCCTGCACCATTCCACATGGCTGAAGCTGAGTTCCCCTGCCTCCATTCTGGTGCCCCAGGGGAAACTCTATCAGGTATGCCTCTTGGAGGACAGGGATCAGAGAAGTACTCAGGGAGAAGACAAAGTTTAAATCAGTGGCACTCTTGCCAGCAAGGTTGGCCATAATGCCTGGTCCCCATCAACTAGTAGAGGTGTGCTGCAATAGCTGCCTACTGCATGTAGCTGCTTCAGGATAGCTACACAGCTGCCTACTCAAAATCCTTGTTTCATTTCCATCAGCAGGCAAAACTGATAGTTCACACTAGCATAGACATGTACATCCAGGCCCTTAGTGACCTCTCAGCAGCCTTTGGAAGTCTAACTTGGTTTTGATGGGAGTTAGATACCTAAACACCTTTGGAAAATTTGGATCCTGGATGAGGAGGGCCACAAAGGCTGTGTAAACAGATGTTTCATTTGGGACTGAGGCTAAAAAACGGACAACTGGTTTATCCAGGAACACAATTTTTATCCTGGGATCCTACAGAGGTATGCACTCATTGTCCCACTTCAAGTACCTGAGAAGCATCTAAATTAACGCTTAGCCCCAGACAATCAAGGCTGATTTGAATTAACTGCCATTCAAACTACCCATGCAAACAATTGTCCCTACCTGTTTTGATGGAGTCAAAACCTGGTAGTCATCTGTTTATAGCCTGATTGTTCCTGGATTTGACCTGGATCAAAAAAGCAGCAGAGTCATTTACACACATCCCCTTCCATGCTGCACTGCTGTGAATTGGCCAGCAAGAGCACACTGCTTGCCAGACTTGTCCCTGGAATGAACCGCAGTAACCATACAGACGTACAACAGAATGTCCTGGGGGAAAGCATTAGTGCATTTTATCTGGCATACTGCAGAGGGACTTGAAACAGAACAGTGGACGTGGAGGTCTGTCTGATCCTGGGACAAAAGGCTTTCTCCCAGGACAAATGCAACATCTATTCATAGCCAGAGAGAATAGATTTAATCCCTAGCCCAAATCGTTCTGGATTTGATAAATGCATGCCCTCCTCTAACGTCATTTAGGCTTTGACTAGATGAGGAAAAGTGGCTAGTGTTGCACCTAAGCTGCACCCAGGATAATAGGACAATGCCCCTAGCATTTTTTAGCTCTCTTGTCATTGCTAATGTAAAGATGGGGAAACTGATGGGCAGAGTAAAAGTGACTTCCCCCAGGGCCCCCTACACCCCAGTGGCCAAACTGGGAACAGAACCCAGCCCTGTACATTCCCATTCCAGCAGGGTCCCTAATCACTCCACACTTTCTCTCTGAACAGAGACTCTTTCCTAGTGTGACAAGGCCACTCATCTCTGCTTTTGCAACTGCAGATAGAAGAGGTACAATAAATCAAGCCAAACCTATCCCAGGCAGGGGCAGATTAGTGGAGAAGAAGGAAGCAGGGCCATTAGCTAGGAACAGAAGGAAATGGGAGGGGTCTGTTTGCCTTCCTAGGGATTTGGCCATAGGGATTTATTTATTTTTTTTGTTATCCCAAGTGCTTAAAATCTATAAGAACGTGGAACATTAAGTCAATCTGGGCTCCCAGAGATGCAAGCGCTTAGTCTGAGACTGGACTTTGCCCTCTGGATTGCATGACAGGGGGAAGTGGGGAGGAAGGATGGATGATTGATGGGCAGGTGGGACAGGCAGGCAGATGGAGGGCTGGATGTCTTGATCAATGAAAAGCCAAGCTTGTCGATGTCTGCTAGTAAGCAGATGGGGACACGTGCATGCACACAGACACGTTGAAGGACAATCTGCAGCATTTATTACATTTACAAAGCTGTATAGTTATACAAATGTTTAACCAATAACGATATATGAATATCAGAATATATTACAGGACATTAAAACATCATACAGGATGCAAACATACAGAGCAATTTTGGTTTGTACCATATCGGGGAGGAAAAAACCCAAACCAACCCCAACACTGAGGCACTTCCCTCCCCTCGCGTAGTCCATTTTGGCCTATGTACAAGGAGAAGGGGGGTGGGATGAATGTTCCTGACCGGCAAAGCCCCATGTAACGCAACTGAGTTCACAGTCCAGCCCCCAGCCATTAGGAGGGGAAGAAACAGAAACAAAGAGACTAAGAATAATGGCAACTAAGAGCCCCTCTACCACCCTCTGCAGGTTACCAGGGCACTTCCCCATCCCAGGAGGCAATGTATGGGTATAGTGGGGCATCTCCCAGATTTGCCAATTGAACCCTCTCCTCATCTTCCCCCCTTCCACCCCAAGCCATGAGTCCAGTGAAGAAGCGCTTTGCTCATTCTGGCTGCCCCATACGGGAAATTCTACCTCCTTCCGCTCCCTACCCTACATAAAAGCCAGCATGCGGCTTTGTTGGCCTTTGGCTCATGCGTTCCTTCAGAAGTGAACATTTTCAAAGGCACCCAATGGCAGCCTGCTAATTCAAGGGGCTGACCCCACTCACCCGACTGGCCTTCAAGATTTAACTCATGCCAGGGTATCACATCCTGGGGCAGGCCCTCCTGTAGCATCCTAGAAAGATCTACCCATCTTTCTATGCCTATGGCCATGGGGCTGTGCCCACACTGGCTCCTTTTAGCCAAGACACCTCTTCTTAATTATCTGGAGTAATAGTTAAAAAAACAAGTCTGTTTCCTGACTTTTGGGATCTGGCTATGTCCACTTCCCTTTGGTTCTCAATGCTTTTTCAGATTTCCTATTACCGATCTCCCCACATGCACACCCTGTGGAGATGAAGCTGGGATGAGAGAGTCGCCCTTGCCTACCCAGCAGTTTGACACTTTCCTGCCCCGGATAGGAATTCTCCTGTCCCTGGGATCTGCAGGCACTTATTTATTCATTCACTCCACCAAGGGGGAGATAAAACCCCCTGGGTCTAGATGCCCAGGGGAACATGTGCTTTTTGAGACTGAAGAAACTTGCTCCCCACCACCCCCCACATGGCTCACGCGTACACACACTCATGTCAGATTGTAAGGAAGTCCGGACTAGAGAGCAGAAGATAATACCATCTCCCACCCCCATGGAACTTGCGCGAGTTCCCCCCGCATGGACAACCTTACAAACACAAGCGACAAACACATGGCTCAAACACACAATACAATCTATGCCTCCCTTTCAAGGAACACAGTAGCGGCCTCCCTTTTGCGACTCCGCACGCCTCACAAAAAGAAAAAAAACCCTAAAAAACAAACTCATTCTAAAAGGCACCATTTTTTTTTTAAACCAACGTGAGGGACGTGGAGAGAAATGGGAAGGGGTGGAAATAAAACAATGCTGTGACTTTTTTTTTTTTTTAAGGAGCAAGAACGTTTGGGGATGGAGCAGAAAACAGATGGTGGGGTGATCTATGGTTGAATGCTTGTTTTCACTCTTCTCATTAACTCTACTTAGTTTGTCACCCCACCTCTGGACACCCCACCTGGTTACTATCACCCCACCTGAAGAACAGCTTCCCCAGTTTCCTGTACAGGATGGGTGTTAGTCATCTTTCTTCCCACCTAACCATGTTATTTCAAGTTCAGGAAAGCCAAAGCTACCAGAGATGCTTCTAAGACTCCAACAGCACCTTCCAACAAGAATAACTCCTTGGTTACTAAGGCACCAATCCTGCAAAGATAGAGGTGCGGGGGGCAAGAAGAGATGAGCAACACAAGATTTTCAAATGCAGACCCTAATGATTTAGCTGACCAAGCCAAAATTTTCCAAGTAGAGACTTACTTTCCAAGTAAAATTTTACAAGTAGCCCAGGAGAGTTAGGCACTCATGTCTTGTTGCCATTTGTTGGAGCATGAGAGGCTAAATCCTTTGACCTCTTTTGCAGAAAAAGAAAAACAAAGAGAAAAATGAATAGGACTTTATGCCTTTAAGTCACACAATTGCTCTTGAAAGTTCGCTCTTTGTGCTACAGGCTTAATTTGAGGTAAGAAATGAACAGAGACTGGCAGAGTAAGTATTATTCATGGGCTGAAGTCTCTGCAGGGTCAGAACCCAAGATACCCTTAGAAATCTGCAAAAGGAAACCAGAACTCTCAATGGAAGGGGAAGCTTCAACCTAACTCTATTCAGACCTGCACTTCAAAGCTTTTCAGATTTCCTCCAAAGCCCCCTCTAAATAGGATGTGCTTAGGTGGCCCTGAAACCCAAGGTCTCTTTCCGCGCCCCCCATCCCTTCCTTATTCCACCCACACAAATTTAGGGGTAGATCATTATCAAGTGAAGGTGCAAGGATGGGAATCCTCCTTTGATGAGGACCCACTGATGACAACTGTTCAGATAGGACATGATACACATTACAACAGGGCTCCAGACAAAGGCTGCCTTTTTAAAGGAGCCTCTGATGAAAGATTCCAAAGCAAATCGAGGGGAGGAAAACACATGGGCTAGATTTTTCAAAAGAATTCAGCATGTTGATACGAGACCCTGAATACCTGGCCCTGAATTCTTTTGAAAAGCCATGACCCCTGGGGCCTAACTTCCAGAAATGTGCAATGCTGACAGCTTTTACTAACTTCGGAAAATTCAGGCCAAGTCATTTCCATAAGCATCTTCCATTCATTTAGTCTATGCCCCATTGGCTGCTCCAGAAATAACAGGTGCTGGGGGAAAATGCCCCCAGCCTCCCAAATGACTTTGGAGCCAACGTCCCACAAAATTTCATCATGAAGACTTCAGCTCCCAAGTGACTTAAGTCCCAGTGAGAGTCTACATGGGATTTTAGCTCATCACCTGAGCTTTACTAAATTGCCCTAACTCCAGACAAGACTTTGGATTAAAGGCCATGCAAGTGCGAACAGAGGAGAGGGTGGTATGTCCTATTTGCAAAGAGATAGGATCTTCTCCCCCTCTAAGCCTGTGCACAGACCATTCCACACCGACTTTTAAGTTTTCCATCACTAAACCAACAAAACAAGCCAACAAACAATGGGCTGGGAAGGCTCTTGACATCAGACATGACAAGTAATTCTCTGCCACACGCACCCTACAGATGGAAGTTACAGATGTACATATACAAAGGGTGGAGGCTTTTGGCTTTTGTCCATCATCCTTACCTGTGTGTCCATTACCATTAAGTCCCATTCTCTCTTGGCAGGGAGTGGGGGAAGGGAGGCTGTTATAGAAAATGAGCAGGTGGGGCTGCAGCTATTACATGAATACGGGCTCCCGGACATGCAAATTCCATAAGTTAAAATTAAAAAAAAAAAGAAAGAGGAAGGAAAAAGAAAAGCATCATTTTAAAAAATACTCAACCACAATTGTGTCTTATTTGCATTTTAAATTAATCTGGTCAATCAATAGAAAATAAGTATGTATAATTTTTTTTTCCTATATACACATATATATTTATATATAAAATCAAAAGTCAGGCCCTAGGCCCTGCCTTTAGGTCAAGGCAGAAGCTGTGCTACCGTTCACAGTCGTTTTCCGCCCCCTGCTGGCAGAGGGCGGCATTTGGTGGCAGTTCGAGGTGCCATTGAGCACGGTGCTGGAGTTGGCTGGGATGCTCGTGGCGGTGTTGTTGGAGCTAGGTGAGCCGTGGGAAGGTGTGGCAGGGCTGGGCAGGGAGGAGGAGGTGGCAGGCAGTGTGGCAGGGCTGTTGGCTTTGTCGCTGACTGACTCGCACTCGGAGGCTCCGCTGGTGTTGGTGCACTCGGAGTTTGCAGGCTGGGACAATTTTATCCTCTTGCAGGCTGGCTGCACCCGGTATTTCAAAGGGAGGGGCCCATTCTGCCAGGAGAAGGGAAAGAAGAACAGTGGAGGTGGTTCCTTTGGACACTCTCATTATCACGGATGCCAGATTTGCATGCAGGCTGTTTGGGGCTCAGAAATGAAGTTAAAAAGGAAGAGACAGGCAGAGACTGTGAATGACTGTCAGACATTTCAGTGCCATCTGTGCCTGGGAAAACTCCCCTAAAACAGTGATTGGCAATGTTTTCTGGCAGCAGGAGGGACAGAAAGACACAGCTAAGGTCTGAGGGGGCTGGCACTGGGACTCAGCTGCACTGCTGCTTCCCCACCACCGGACTGAATGGGCAAAGCTCCCCAGTCTCCAACTCCACTGCAGTCCCAGCTCCATGGGTCAGATCTGCCCTGCAGGTTGTAAGTTGCTGATCCCTGCCCTAAAAATCATCAGTACGATTTATTTGTATGGATGCCAGGACGTGCTGTTGCCCAGCTGGTATTTTCCCCTCAAATAAAAAAAAGAATACAATTCAACAAAGCTCAAATCCAGGCTTTGTTCTAGAGTGTTTTACTCAGGCTTCAGATCAGAACAACAATCTACTATAAAGCCTAGTTTTACTCTGGAGGAGCAGGTGGAGACTCCATCGTTTGGGTTATATTACAGATTTCAGTCTAGCAGGAGTTTTACACTATTATTTTGCAAAGCGCTCTGTAAAAAAATGGCCAAACTCAAAGTCCAAGTACTCCCTGAATGGTTTATGATGGTGGTGCACTCTGAAATTAGACAACTACATGGGAAAGAAGCGGCAATCATATTCCTTTAAAAAGTGTTCATCAATTTTAAAAAAAAAATCTTACTTGACGTACATTTGTGCCCTTCATTTTCCCCTTAATAACGAGCTCTGATATTAAAGCCATATGGATTTTAGTTTTACTTATAAAAAAAAAAAAAATCACTTGGACCATTTATTTCCTGCCTTTACTCAGCTCGGGCAGTGTAAAAAAGATTTGTCTATCAGTTTTTTTCCATTTTGGAAGTTCTCAAAATGCTGAAGTTCTGGCTGAAAAATATTGCAGGTAGAGAGATTTAACCCAAACCTGTTGCATGAGTTTGCTTTTAAATTCAATGCTAAGAACTACAATCAGAGTTCAGATGACCCTGCCCCCTACATAAAGTAAAACAATGTGACAATCAGGACTCGTGGATACCTGACATAATAGATACCTGATACAATGGATACGTGACACAAAGTGACAATGGCACTTGAAAGCACTTCTGTTTATCCTACAAAAAGCAGAACAAAACTCTTACTCAGAAGACCTGGGCTTAATTCTCATTTCCACCACTGGCCTGCTGAGTAACTGTGGGCTTTTTCCTTCATCTCCTTGTGCCTCAGTTTCCCCAGCTGTAAAATGCAAATAATGAAACTGATTCCTTTGTGAAGTGTTACGAGATTACTGAACCGAAAACAAAGCATTTACACTACCAGCAATAGGTCGGTTCTAGATTTTGACAAGAATTTGTTTGCACAGTCTTGTCAGAAAAGGCCTCAACATATTAACTTCAACAGTTAAAAAAAGGTGGATCTAGGGACCATAGTGCACACTCATTAACTAAACATTAACTATACATTTAAGAAGTTTGTTACAAGGACAAACCTTTCGCAACACACAGACTGCTGAGTACCAATGCCTGGTAAAATATACAGATCATGATCTAATACGGAAAGATAAGCAAAAAAGCAAAATTCCTTCTCAATAAATAAAAAATTAACTCCAAATACATGGGTGTTACTGTAGACAGATGGATATTAATTTAAGAGCACTAACACTGCTTTTACTGAAGTCAATGGAAGACTTTCCATTAGGTTTCTTATTGGAAGTGGAAAAGGAATTGCAACCTATAGTAATTTCCTGCTCCTGATGTAGACGCTTAAAGGCAAAGCACGTGAAAGATGCTACCAGACCAGAATACTGTTTTTTTGCACCCACCAATATAAATGACAAGATGCAGGATAATGGTGAATACAGCCTGTAAGTGTAGTACAAAGCACCTTTAGACTTCTATGTTTTTCATATTCAGATACATTTCCAGTGGCTCACTCCACATACACCTGTAAAATCTCAGCTCCTGCAGAGATATCTTGCCAGGAGGATCAAGAATCCAGATGTTAACAGATAATTAAAACCTAGTCTCAGTAAAAGTTTTCCAGGCTGCCTTCCAAAAATAAAAGATAAAGGATTTGGAAATTCAAATGAGATGCATCTTTGAGCGCACACACAGCAAAGTGAAATATCCCACTGAAAAACCTTTAGAAAAAATTTTCTAGCCTGTTTGCCAAGGAAGCAGTGCTCCATCATGTGCCAGGCTGAGCGCTCTAGCCCTGATTCACAAGCCACTTCAGTACATGAACATTCATACTGATTTCAGTGGGACTTCTCACATGAACCTTTTTACATTCAAAGCACCCCTTGTTAGATCAAGGCACCCCTCAAAAAAAGTCATCTTAGTTTTCACCTTTTTTGACTAGAGAAAAATAAAAAAGCAATTTTTCTGTTGCAAAGCCCACAACAAGTCAAAATGGTTTTAACACAATGGATTCCTATTTGAAATCTCTGGGTTTCTCTTGTGAATCATGTTTGCATACCTAAGAGTGCTAACATTGTGAGGCACCTGTGACACCCTTGAAAAGATCTCAAGGTACTCCAGGGTGCTGCAGCACCTTAGTCGAGAATCACTGGTTTAGGGCCCCCCTACGAGAAGTGAGCATGTTCTCAAATGCACCCCTATGCAGAAGAATACTTGAGTGATACAAATAATTAAGCAGCAATTTCAAAACCAATACAAGGAAATGTTCGTAAGTCAATCATCACCATGTAAGAGAGACCAAAAACACAGTGAGATTCAAGAGAAAGAAAGGGGCGAAGGCCTGAGACCATACGGTGCAGGGGTTAGCAGAGGCAACAGGAATATCCAGAGTTATAATCTGGGAAGAGACCACCTATCTAGCTAAAGGTGATGTTAGATCCTTAAACATTTTATCTAAACTGATTGATACTGGCCACTAACCTGCCAGTACCCTGTAGTAAGTGGGGAACAGCTTGTCCCACAGTGAAAGTAGCTGTAACTTCATCTCCTGGCATAAATCATGGTAACTTGGGCAGATGGTACAAGGTACCAAACCACCATTGGCTTCAACAGCGCTGCTCTGAGCGAGGGTGGCCTCCCTAAAATGGAACTGCAGCACCATGCAAGCTCAAGCCCCCAAATGAGGAAACCTTGGGCTGCTGGAGGGACCTCTGAAGCTCTCACTTAAAGCTGTGAAACGGAACCCTTCCCCTCCTCCTCCCCCATTTTAAAGTAAAAGGTTTATTTTTGCAGGGCAACCAGGCCTGACGCCTGCTGGATGGGAAGAATGTTGATTCTGAAAGTTCACCCCTACCCCCTCCTGCTGGCAGCGCGCATCAAGGCCCTTCAGAGCACCTGGATCTAATTAAATGCTCTAGCAGAGCAAGCGTCAACAAGGGAAACATGTTTTCTGATTGATCTCGGTTTTCAGCCCCTCACTTTCCCTCGCACAGATCTCTCCTGAAGCTGAAGCCACCAACCCTTTCTGGGTGGTGAGGGCAGTGAGATTAATTACGGCTTGATTTTGCAGAGGCAGTAAGAGCAGTACTGTCAAATCCCTGGGGTTTTAAACAAAACAAAACAAAACAAACAAGCCCCTACCATCATAACTGGCTTAAACATAATGAGATTTTTTTTTATTTGCCTTCTGGTTCAACCAGGATCATGTTTTCAAGCTTCTCTCCAAAATTATAAGGACTAGAAAGCTGTTTTCTAGTGAATACTGAGATTCCCATGACTCCAGTTGCTGGAACTACAAAGAAAAAAAGCCCAGTTAAATATTGCAGGACTCCCGACTTCATCAGGAGAGTTGGCCACACAGAGTGCCTGCCAGTTTCCACCCAGTTCAGAACTCAGAGACGCTCAGCACTTAAAATAGGAGCTAAATGCTTTTGGGTAAATAAAACTGGTCTTGCTCTGCCATTTTCCTACTTACTGTCTCCCACTGTGGAAAAATACCCACCCTGCCAAAAGGAAGGGTTAATTTGTCAAGGGCCAAAATTATTCCCTGTAGATAATTAGCAGTAAGTCATAGCTTCACAGTAGCATGTAGAAGCTTCAAATATCAGAGTCCATTCTGCTGCAAGCTGTGCAAACTCCAAGGGAGATACCATGTCTGTGTCCTGAAAAGCATGACAGCTAAACAAACAGTGGATGGGGAAACTGAGGCACAGAGAGGGGAAGGGATTTGTTCCAGGTTGTGCACTAAGTAACTGGCAGTGTCAGATATAGACCACAGGCCTCCCAGGTCCCAGTTTGTTGACCTGTGCACTGGACCACATGCCGCATCAAGAAAAAGGCAGATGATTCCACTACATAAACTGGTAACTTACTCACCCTTCGCCATGGGTAGATATACGCAATGTCCATCAGTGTGTAATATTCCTTTAAAGGCTCATCTTCATAGAGAACTTCCACCTGACAAGGGAAGAGAAGAGGATCAGTTTTTCCCTCTGCCGATGACAAGAAACAAACAATACAGCCTCCTCCCCTACCATGTGGCTAGCTACCCCTCTTGGGGCACAAAAGTCAAATTTTTGAGAGCTCAGGCCCCAGAACCCAGGCTGGATTTTCCTGACAGCTGGATTCCCATTTAGATACTTTTTTTTTTTTTTTTTTTTTTGGGGTGGGGGGGGAGTCCTCAGTCCCTTAAAGTCCTCAGTCCCCACTGTAATGCATGCTGAGCATTTCTGAAAAGCTTGACACTTTTCTTTGGCATTTAGGTTTCTCTTGACAATCTGGCCTGAGCTGTTCAATCCGCAGTCACCCTGCACTTCGTAAGATCACTCCAATGCAACTTGGGTGCAAAACACCACCACATCAGAGTGACTACACAAAGCGCAGCGAGTCAGGTCTCAAGCACCATGACAAGATGTCCCGTCCTATTAGTATCTGAAGGAATAGCTCTGATGAACACAGCTGAATGCAGGGGTTCCCAAAGCTTTGTCCATGGAGGACTACTTTATGGGCAGGACATCATGTCGGTGCCTAGTGGGGAGCAGAGTTCTCTGGGAGAAAGGAAAGTGACCTTTAATCTCTCTAAGACTCAGTTCTCCCAGTCTGTAAATAAGGATGGCAGGGGTAGGGGCTGTATAATAACATGAAATCAGCAGTGCACTGCCTTTATGTTCAGTAGATGTAACAGATGATGCCTTACTTAGACAAAGTTACAATAAGGGAGAAGCCAGCCTTCTGGCTTAATTCAAATGAACAGCCCATGGTGGAGCCTTGCTGATCAGCCAGTTTCTGGTGACAATGGACACCATTAAAAGTCTCTTTGTGGGCCAGCAAGTGGCCTATGGGCCAGACCTTGGGCAGCCCTGGTCTAGTGGGGAAAGTTATTACATTTCTGATCTTTGCTCAGATTCACTGGATAACTGAGCTGAGTGGCACTTCCCCCCCTTTTGCATGAAGCTGGGATAAGAATGCTTACTTAAGACTGCTGCAAGGCTGACTTAGCAAATGTTTGTACAGCCCAGTGTATAAGTACTATATGTTATTATGACAGATGCCAAGACCTTAAATGAGTTTGTGTTTTTAATAAGAAACACATAGTAAATCTTCTGGGGTGGGGGTTGGGGAGAAACTCTGCCTGAGAGGATCTCAGACTGGAATTGCCAGCTCCGGAGCTCTCTGAGGGTTAATCCCACATTGGGTCTCTTTCCAGGAAGGGAAACTTGGAGGTGGGTTAGAGGTTCTGAGTTAGTCCCTCTCCCTCTTCTTAGCCTGTCCTCCAAAAACACAGCAGCAGAGTCTCGGCCCGTGGAGGGGTTAAAAACCAGTGTAGCCCTGACTGCAAATGGAACTGCTATGTAAGTTTGCACCAGCTGAGTTTCTGTCCCTCAGGGCCTCACACAACAGAACTGCAGTCTTGGCAGGAGTGTGAAGGTGCTACTGCAGCACAAGTCATCATAATAATATTTATTTTTATTGCAATAATGCCTGGAGGCCTCAGTCAGGGTCTCACTGGGGCTGGTACCACGCAAAGAACAAACAAACAAAACTGTTCCTGTATGTGCAGTCTTGTATCAGGGACCACCTTTTTGTTAAGTCTTGGCTTGAAAAAAGGATCGAAATTGCAGTAAGCACTTTGTAGTTGCAGTGAGGGACAGAACAATGGGACTGGCCTCTACTAGCCAGCCTAAGGGGCAATGTTCTACATGTGCATATAGCAAGGCTGTAACCAAAAAAATAAAAGAAAAACCACAACCATCATTGGAAGCCAACAGGCCCGAGGGGGGGCACAGCTTTGGTGTAAGTGTGCACAGCACCACCCAGAACCATGGGAGCAGTCCGCTGACCCAAGAGGGATCTGGAACAGCATAGCATGCCCAACCAACCCATGGCTACTTACTTTGTACTTGCTGGGAACGTCCATCTTATTGCGCAGAAATTTAGCCAGATGCATGACTGTCATGGCAGCTGGACATCGGAGGAACCTTACGCCATTCTTCTGAAGATAGACCATCGGTTGTGTGGGGTTGGGGGGAGGGGGGAGAGGAAAAGGAAAGAGAAGGCATTACTAAGAGCTGAGCAGCTGGAGGAGGAGAGGGGATGAAATATGTAAAGAAGCGGCTGTAAATCTAAATCGTACACAAAACAGAGGAGGGGAGGCATGAAAGGCTTGCAGGTCACATGCAAAGGGCTCTGCTGCAATCCATACTGCTCTGGTTTTGCAATGAGAGGTAGTGTTGCAGAGGGAAGATCACCTCATGCTTAAGGGAAAAGCAGAAGAAAGAAATCCCTTAAATGGCTTTAGAGCAGGAGGCCTTTATGCCATGAACAGCCTGTCCCACTGGTTGATGCTAACAAACCCTTGCAAACATCAGATCCACTGATGTCTCAGGGAGTGCACAGTACAAGCATTAACACCCTTATGTAGCAAGCAGAAAACTAAAGTTATTCTTTGCATAATTAACTGCAGAGTCCCACTATGTAATTCTTAGACACACGCTGGTCAGCATTAATTTCCTCCTTTGTAACACTTCAGAGGAAAGAGGAGTTGGAGCTGAAACTATGAGGATTACAATGCCAAACCTTGAAAGAATTATTCCTAATCATGTGGTCTAAGCACAGGGCTGGGAGCCAGGATGTCCAGAGATCCAACCTCATCTGGAACACTGATTACAACCCTTGGGCAAGCCACTTAGGCCCTGAGCCAGCAAGCAATTACAATTGATTGTCTTTAAAGTCACAGATGTGCTTTGTGTCAGCCAAGTTAGAAAGCCAGGAGCGCTTGAAAGTTCCTAACACTTAAATAAGAGCTGAACCAAGCAGTAGAGCCAAGGTCTTAGTGCATCAAAATGTAACATGTCCCACATCTGACACAGGCCTTACTTCAAAATATTAAGGAGTAAAAAAGAAAACAAATCCAAGCTCTGTGTCTGGTTGGGTGGGTGCCCAACAAGGCAAGTCAGAAATGGAATGAACAAGTTTTAAAAATTCATAAGTAGAATGTAAAACAGTTCAGGTATCAGAAGATGCATGCCTGGTATGTAATCAGTGTTATGACTGGCCAGCAAACTTGTTATCAGAAAAAATATCTGTGCAGCTAAATGCAGATTGGCTTGTAATTAAATTATGCAAGGACTAAGTAATATATACAAGCGTATACTTAAAAAAAAAAAAAAAAAAAAGACTTTGGAGATGCATGCCCTTCCCCTATACTGTCAGTCATCTCACTTACCTGACTAAGCAAACAAAGGCTATTCCAGTTTACATTTAGTGGGCGTGCCTACACATTAATTAATGCACCATAGTTACTGCACATTAAGTTTAGTACTTGGATAACCAAGTACTAAATCAATGCACAGTAACTTGCGCTACTGCAGAGTAGTGCTGGTGCATGGGATTTTTCAGATGCAACTGCGCAGTAGCCTAATACTACTGTGCAGTAGCATATTAGCATGAGTTTTGCCTGACACTACTGCACATTGTTATTAGGCTACTACGCAGTTAGGGTCTCATGTAGACATGCCCAATATGTTCATTCAGGCTTGCAGCAGCGAGACTAAAAACATCCCTGAAAGTTGAGGGTGGGAGGTCCAGTTTGAGACTCCTTGAGCCTGCTTTTCAAATGATGCTTGTAGCGTGCCAGAATTGGTTAGCATCCCTTTAAATAGCATGCAAGCCCTCTAGCAGCATTCACTGGGTTCCGTATTTTTGGGCATGTCTGCCCCACAATTATAGCCAGCTTGGAAACAGATAACAACGTTGTTAAAGTAGTGTGGGCTGCACAAGGGGCAAAGCCTATGGTACCCCACTGACGTCAAAGTCAATGCCCAAGCTAGCTAGAATAAAGCCGGTTCAAAGGAACTGCAGCCACACCTCCAGCTGCTGTAGAGACACATGCTTGGAAGCCACCAGAACCCAAGCAGCACAGCACCGTTTTTCTACAGCTGTGCACTGTATGCAGTGAATGTTTCTGAAGTACTATTACGGAACTTCATAGATTAAGATACTTCAATTTAACCCCAAAATGGGCACTATGGGCACATCCAGATGATATGGCCATACGGTATGTGGCACCACAAATGTCTGCAGCACCATATAACGCAATCAGCTGTTCTCCGGGCTGCAAGGGTGCGCTGCCTGTGCACGCGCTGCACCGTTTTTTCCTGCAGTTTTTTTTGTTTTTTGTTTTGTTTTTTTACCCCTGGATGCTCCTTTCCCCACCACCACAGGTTTTTTTGACCCCTGGATATTTAGGGGTAAAAAAAAAAAAAGCAGGGAAAAAAAACAAGAGAAGAGCACACATGGGCAGCGCACGTGGCTGAAAAGCAGAGCCAAGCTGCCTGGAGCCATGCTGCGGCTGCTGGCCAGGCTCCACGTGGCAGGATCACCACAGCTGCAACCCTAGGAGGCCCCCAGTACCCGAGGTCAGGCTGCTAGGGCCAACCCAGTGCTCGCCCCAGCCTTCCCTACTGCCCCTGGGGTAACTTGCCACATACCAAAGCGTGCATGCACAGACATTCCCCGGGGACAACTAGCTGCAGTAGAAGGTGGGCTGCTGCTACTTGTCCCTGAGGAACCAAACACCCATGCTCATCTGGACATGGACCATGAGTCCAGCAGATTCCCAAGCTTTTTGAGCCACTAGCCCCCTCAAAACTTCTCATGGACCATCAAGCACACTTACTGTCAAGCTTCTGTTAAAAAAGGGCAGAGGCTTGGTGTGATCTGCAAACCAGTCACAGCTCAGAGTCTGAGAAGTGCTGATCTAGTTTGATTATGTGCCTAGGCGGTTCTTTGATGAGGTCTGCATCTTTGTGAAAAAGATACAATAGTACTGAGCACCCCAAAATGTAGCTGGGGCCAGCAGAAACTGCAATGGCTCAGGCCTCTGAATCAGGCATCCAGAAATCTGAGCTGCTCGAATCACCTGTTGGTTTTGGGAAAACTCGTTTTGATTTCTCCTCTCCATGCAACAGGACAACATATCTGCACCACTAAGGGACTCATTACTTCCATGTTTAAAGCACCTTGCAGATAAGAGTGGTTATTCACTGCCTGGAAAGAATGCATGGTTTTCTTGCAAGCATGAGAGTTTTTTAAGCCTTTGAACCAGACCTGACATGTTTAATACTCTGTTGGACCATGTCTGGGGGTTTCTAGTTGGATCCAGGTTGGGGGGGGGGGGGGGGGGGGAAGGAAAAATTGCAGGAGGGATGGAGACAGGATTAGTGGAAGGGAACAGTGCCAGAGACTCAAGGGCAAACTGATTCTTTGTGGTTAGCCACATCCTAACCCCAGACAGAACTTCGGCCAAAGGAAGCATTTCTTTGCTAAACAGAGCTTCAGCCCCGAATTGTGAGAACCCTGGACTTACATGAACCCCCATATCTCCCACACCCTAATGTCCAAATCCCTGGGCTGGCCCCTGTGTTGTCAGCCCGGTCAAACTGCACAGCATAATCCCATGACCCCCTTCCCCGCACAACACTAAGTCACCAACTGGGACCTCCCTCATTTACCTGTAGGTTCCCTCAGTATCACAGCACTTACTTTTTCCTTCTCCACATCCCCATTTTCAACCGTTCCTTTCTTTTCATCTCTGGGGGGGCCGGGGGGGAGGAAGGGTGGGAGGAAAAGGGGAGGAGAATGAAAAAACGGAAAGAGAAAATTAATAACAAATATTACAGTAAACAGTAACTTAATTATACCATGGAAAGGGCATAGCAAACTTGACCCAGCACCAGTGACACAAGCATTAATCTCTCTGTGGTCTGTGATGGAGTGGATTATGTACAGACTAACAGCCTTCACCAAAGCTATATGACTTAAATATTTAGAACATTTTGGCTGCAGTATGCTCTCTCATTGTAGATGTACAAGTTGTATAGGTTTTGCTTCAGCTTTTGTATTGCATTTACAATGTGCCCCATAGAAACAACCTCTGGCAATGTGACCCTTTCATTCACTGGGTGGGAGGGGGTGGCAGAGGGAGGGGACTGGGGAGAGGGTGTGGGTGGGTGTGCATCTCAAAATATATAGCACACCTGTTACTCTTATAGTCTGTGGTCAGCCACTTCAGAGCCAACTGGAGTTTGATCTCTGTAAGAGGAGCAAGAGCTGGGCCCCGCTGAAAGAAAAGGCTACGCACTCTTCTCTGCAGGTCAGGCTGCTTTTATGCTGTGCTAGGAAGCCCTCACAGAGGAGAAGTGCAACACGTGAGTAAAATCAAATGATATTGAGGAGGGTTTGGCAATGGACTCATACAGGGCTACAATTTCACCAAAATCTTTGCTCGTAAAACCAAAGGATCCAGGCTTTCTTCCCATGGGATACACTGGGGTTATTTTCAACCCTCAGCCCCATGGAGGGCAAAGAGTTGCCCCAAAGAAGGAATCTTAAACTTGTATGGACTGACTGGGACAAAACCATTTCAGATCCAAGTTTGTGAAGGTCTTGGATGAACTGTGGATCAGGGCACAATGTGGGAAACATCCAAGTGCACCCACATAAATACCTAGCCAAGTACTAATCTGATCCCATTTAAAACCAGTAAAAACAACCCACACACCCCATCCAACATTTGAGAACATGAAGGTCAGATAAACTGGAGCAACTTCAAGGAAGTCAACAGAGATGCACTTGAATGAAACCAACACAAAGGAGTGGAGAAGAATTAAAGCAATGGGGTGAAACTCATTCCTGTGCCATGGTGCTAGCAATATACCCAAGCATCACTTAGGTAGTTTTCAGGGGAAGCTGTTGGGAGCTAAACCCCATTTGGGAGAGTCCAGCTAACCCATGTCAGTGCCTAGTTGGGAGACAAGTTCTTTGGGAAGAGAAAAGTGACACTTCATCTCTCTAAACCTCAGGTTTTCCAGTCTGTAAAATAAGGATAATAGTAACATTTTTATAAGCGACTTAGAAGCCTACATCCCACTGACCTTCCATGGGACTTAAGATGCCAAATCACTCAGGCATTTTTGAAACTTTAATACACCAGCACTTCTCTACCACTTAGGGTGAGGGGGATGATAAATTCACAATCATGTGAGGTGTGTTCTAGCCTACTACTCAATGGATCTCAACAACTCAGTCCTCCCTGGCTCAGGAACTATGAGTGGCCACTGTTAACCATGAGCCACACCATGCACACTCCTCTGGGAACAGTGACTGCCACATCTAGGGTCAAGAGAGGCACTATAGTGCCATTTGCATTCCCAGAGGGAAAAATGCTTTAAAAAAAGTGGTGAGTCTCCTTAGCTCTGCCCATGATAGACACCAAGAGAGAGAAAACGTGCACACAGATTCGAGACAGCAGGAAAGACAGACCCATTGTTACTTCACATTGACACTGGTGTTGCAGCCAGACTATATGCAGAGCCAATCACAGTGGTGTATAAACAAATAATAAGAGAGCATCCCTGCTTCAAACGCCCTCTGAGCTAAAAAGGAAGTGGCAACAAGGGGATGAAACCACTGGGTCCTGCCATGGTTGAAACCTGAGGTAACACAAATATGAATAGGATGCATATTTATTTGTCTGTATGTTGTGGTAGCACCTAGGAAACCCAGGCCTGAGCTAGGATCCTTCTGTGTGAGGTACTGTACAAATATAGAACAATTAAAAAAAAATGGTTCTGGCTTAAATGGCTTAGAATTCAAGTATAAGATAAGAAATAAGTAAAGGAGAGAGATATCTGGCAGGCGGTGGTAGTGATCACAGCTCTGCACACGCCTAGGTATTTACAGGCTGCATCTCACTGGAAAGAGGATTCTCCCTGGAGCAAAGGACTGCAACAAGCAAAGGGAGGCTTCAGTGATGTACAGGTTGGGGAAGGACAGTTCACTGGTTAGCGCGCTAGCCTAAAACTTGATTTCAAGATGCCAGCACAGACAATGCATGTGACCTTGAGCAAGTCGCCTAAGGTCAGATCCTCGGTTGGATCAGTGGAAATCTGGTACCAAACTTCCTTTTTAAAATCAGGACCTTCGCAGAACCATAGATAATTAAGGCTGGAAGGGACCTCAGGAGGGCATCTAGTCCAACCCCCTGCTCAAAGCAGGACCATCCCCAACTAGATCATCCCAGCCAAGACTTTGACTAGCCAGGTCTTAAAAACCTTCAAGGATGGAGATTCTACAACCTCTCTGGGTAACCTGTTCCAGTGTTTTACTACCCTCCTAGTGAGACAGTTTTTTTCCTAATATCTAACCTAAACTTCCCTCGCTGCCACTTGAGACCATTGCTCCTTGTTCAGTCATCTGCCACCATGGAGAACAGTCCAGCTCCATCATCTGTGGAACACCCCCTTCAGGTAGTTGAAGGCCTCTATTAAATCCCCTCTCAGTCTTCTCTTCTCCAGACTTAAGTAAGCCCAGTTCCCTCAGCCTCTCCTCATAAGTCATGCACCCCAGCCCGCTCACCATTTCCGTTACTCTCCGCTGGACTCTCTCCAATTTTGCACATCCCTGCTATAGCAGGGGGTCCAAAACTGGACACAGTACTCTAGATGTGGCCTCACCAGTGCTGAACAGAAGGGAATAATCACTTCCCTAGATCTGCTGAACACTCCTACCAATGCAGACTAGTATGCCATTAGCCATCTTGACAACAAGGGCACACTGCTGGCTCATATTCAGTTTATTATCTACTGTAACCCCCAGGTCCTTTTCTGCAGAGCTGCCCAACCAGTCATCCCCAGCCTGTACCGGTGCATGGGATTGTTCCATCCTAAGTGCAGGACTTTGCACTTGTCCTTATTGAACCACATGAGATTTCTTTTGGTCTAATCCTCCAATTTGTATTGGTTTCTCTGAATCCTACCCCTACCGGCATATATATCTACTACTTCCCACAGCTCGGTGTCATCTGCAAACTGGCTGAGGGTGCACTCTGTGCCACCTTCCAGGTCATTGATGAAGATATTGAACAAAACCAGCTACAAGGCTGACCCCTGGGGCACTCCACTAGATACTGGCTGCCAACCAGACATTGAGCCATTGACTATTACCTTCTGAGCCCAATGATCCAGCAAGTTTTCTATCCACCTTACAGTCCATTCATCCAACAATGACTTCCTTAGCTTGCCTATGAGAATGTTGTGGGAGACCTTATTAAAAGCCTTGCTAAAATCAAGGTATATTCACATCCACTGGTCTTCCCACATCCACAGAGCCAGTCATCTCATCATAGAAGGCAATCAGGTTGGTTAGGCACGACTTGCCCTTGGTAAATCCAAGCTGACTGTTTCTAATCACCTTCTTCCCCTCCAAGTGCTTAGAAATGGATTCTTTGAGGATTTGCTCCAGGATTTTTCCAAGGACTGAGGTGATGCTGACCAGTCTGTAGTCCCCTGGGTCCTCCTTCTTCCCTTTCTTCAATATGGGCACTATATGTGATCTTTTCCAATCATCCAGGACCTCTCCAGATCACCATGTTTTCAAAGATGATGGCCAGTGGCTCTGCAAGCACATCAGCCAAATCCCTCAGCACCCTCAGGTGCGTCCCATCCAGCCCCATGGACTTGTACATGTTCAGCTTTTCTAAATAGTCCCCAAACTGTTTTTTGCTACTCTCAGCTGCTCACCTCCTCCCCAAACTGTGCTGCCCAGTGCAGTAGTCTGGGAGCTGACCTTGCCTGAGAAGACTGAGGTGAAAAAGTAATTGAGTGCTTCAGCTTTTCTGCATCCTTTGTCACTAGGATGCCTCCCCCATTCAGTAAGGGACCCACAGTTTCCCTGATCCTCCTCTTGTCACCGACCTACTTGTAAAAATCCTTTTTGTTACCCTTTCCATCCCTCGAGGGGACGTGCTAGGCTGCAACTCTGATTGTGCTTTGGCCTTCCTGACTTTGGCCTTGCATGCCTAAGCAACAGTCTTATTCTCTTCCCTAGCTTTTGTCCAAGTTTCCACTTATAAGCTTCCTTTTTGTGATTTAGCTTACTGAAGAGTTCCCTGCCTAGCCAAGCTAGTCACCTGCCATACTTGCTAGTCTTCCTGCACATTGGGATGGTTTGTTCCTGCACTCTCAGTAAGGTTACTTTAAAGTACAGCCAGCTCTCCTGGATTCCTCTCCTCTTCAGACTGGCTTCCCAGGGGAATCCTGCCTATGAATTCCCTGAATGAGTCAAAGTCTGCTTTTCTGAAGTCCAGGCTCCTCACTTTGCTGCTCTCCTTCCTTCCTTCCTTCCCTCAGGATCCTGAACTCAATCATCCCGTGGTCACTGCTGCCTAAGCTGCCATCCACTACTACATTCCCCACCAATTCTTTCCTGTTTGTGAGCAGCAGATCAAAAAGAGCATGGCCCCTTGTTGGCCACTCTAGCACTGGCACCAAGTTGTCCCTAACATTCTCCAGAAACTTCCTGGATTGCCTGTGCACTGCTATATTGTCCTCTGAGAAGATGTCAGAGTGACTGACAACCCCCATAAGAACCAGGGCCTGTGGTTGGGAAATTTCCACTAGCTGTTTGAAGAAAGCCTCATCTACCACTTCTCCTCCTGGTCTGGTGATCTATAGCAGACCCCCACCACAACATCATCCTTGTTGCCGACTACTCTAACCCTAACGCAGAGACTTTCAACAGACCTACCTCTAGTTCCATACTGGAGCTCTGAGCAATCATATGGCTCTTTTGCAAGAAGTGCAATTCCTCCTCCTCTTCTCTTCATGTCTCTGCACCTCATTCCCTCCCCTGTATAATGGGGATAAAAGCCATGCCCTGCTTCCCAAGGGGTGTTGCAAAGGACTGATATACTGAAGACAGCAAAATGCCTGAATGCTGCCATAGCCAGGACCCACTGAAGTACTTAAGGTCCTCAGGCCTTGTGCCCTAAGTAAGGAAGGGAGAAGAAAGGGATTTCACGCATAGTCTTTACTCGGGCAAAACTCCCGCTGAAGTGACCTGTCAATTCAAGTCAGAGAATGCTGGAAATGTCTTCAGTACTTGGTCCAGCCTGGCAAGCCACAAAGAGTGAGATTTGGTCTCATAAACAGCAATGCTAGAAGGGAAGGGGAATGCCCTTACCTTGTTCCTTCATAAAATTCTATGGACAAGCTGACAATTTCATCATCTGTCAGGTTCCCTTTGTCTTGTTCAGAAACTTCACCACGATCCTCATTAGACCCATTGGGAACTATACAGTGAGGGGAGAAAAAGGAGTTAGAGCTGTTAGAAATTCCCCTTAAATGTATTTATTGGCAAGGCAGGGGACAAGGAACTGGGGGAAAAAAAAACAGCCATTTCCGCCCGCAGACACTTACCATCTGCCATGGGATAGGCTGCATAGAAGTCACGCCGCCTCTTCATTTCATCTGTAAGCACAGGGAAAGCAGGGAGATCCCAGAAAGAAGGGAATGAAAGAAGGAAGGAGAAAGAGATCAAGGTCTGATTTATACATCATGGCTTGGTCCCAAGTTAAGACTTGTCCACACCTGTGTTAATTCAGATTAAAGCAGGATGGGAATTTAGGACACACCAGCTATTCCAGAATAGCCTCCTGTGTGGAGCAAGCCTTGATGGTGATTTTTTTTCTAACCCATCTAGGTAGACCAGTACAACCCTCAGAGGCCATGCAATTTTACACCAAATAAAAGTGGCTTATCCTGAAGCTTATTGCTCTCCCAATCAGGAAGCTGTATACAAGTATAAAACAGCTTTATATACCTCACATAACTGTGTTCACACTGGGGGGGTGGGGGGACTGCACTGCTTGAACTTTAGCAGAGACCTTAACTTGACAGCTTGTGTGTTGAAAACCCCACCCCAAAATTGCCATTGTATCCAGCTGTACCTTTAAATAGCCCTGGGACCAGTTTGTACACTATGTCTTGTAAAGTTTTGTCTGATCTGGAATGCAAAGAGAGAAGATAATTAGTTATGGCTGGATTAGAACTGTTTTTTTGGGTATGGCAGGTAAATTGGCTAAAGAATTTGCTCAGGTGAAGGGAAGATAACATACACAAAAGTTAAAGTTTGCTCCTCAGCAAAGGAACAGCATAAAGCCCAATTCCCACTTGAGCCCTCAAAATAGAGCTTGAATGTGCCTTAACAAGTGTGCAGACACTGTACTGGCCCCTTACAAAGGAACAAAGTCAGATCAATTTAGGCTCAAACTGCACAGGCCCAGTTCCCATTGAGCTAACATAAGTAAATCTCCTGTTGACTTTGATGAGAGTGGATTCAAGTTGTCAGGAGTTTTGTATACTAAAATGTCCAGAATTACCAATATGGGGACTTTGGTGGGGTAGGTTTTTTTGGGGGGTGGTTTTTGGCAAAGCTGAATTCCTGGACACTTATGGTTTTACCACAGTCTTATTTAATGTTCTTAAGGTCAATGTCTAGCTGTTGTCTTAATTCAGAAAAGCTTGCAGACACTAACACAGCTCATGTATTGCTTTTCATCTGGAGATCTCATAATGATCCTGACCTCCCTAGTAAAGCACTAACTCCACTGCATAGGTGAGGAAACTGAGGCACAGATGTGAAGTGACTTAACCATGGTCATGCAGAAAAGCTAGAGCACCACTAGGATTAAAATCTGGGGCTCCAGAACTCCAGTCTAGTTCTCAAACCACCAGGATGCCCCATCACCTGAGTCAGCTCTAACAGAATAAAAACGGAAAAGTGGAGAGAAAAATAATTTAAAACCCCCATGGTTTTTTTGGTAGGAAGGGAGGGGAGAATGCTTCAGCCAATCCAAACTATGCATATTGAAAACCCAATCAGACATGTACCAAGATCTTAATAAAAATCCAAGCTCAACTGTCATGTTTCTGCAAGTTAAAAAAAAATTACCAAGACAGATTTCTTCTTTGAGTTTTAATGCCTCTCTGCATCAGTTGCAAGCAAACAAATTACTATAGGACACAAAAGCCATGCAGGGAAAGCTACTAGAAAACAAAGTGAAACTGCTCAGTCTTATTTTGAGTGTCTTAGGGTGAAACATTCAAAAGCCCTAAGTCATATTTTCAAAAGAAACTCAAAGCCAAATTTTCCTAAGGTATTTCAAGCATCTGAAGATGCAAATTGGCCTTTAGTAGGGTTAACAAAAGCACCTTGTAGTCGAACAAAATGTCAAAAGAAAAACAAATCTGTTCATGGTGACAGGTTTGCACTTAGCTCTTTTTTAATAATAGGGCCTTTATGAATAGTAGGTACGGTCATTTGTTTTTCTTTCAAATACATGTTTTTTAGCATAACAGCAGCCCTTTAATCTATAACTTCTTGGTGATGTCACCAGGAGTTTGCAAGGCCCCTCTGTGACATTATTTATTATATGTACACATAGGATTTACTTTATAAGTTACAGCAAGCTAATGAAAAAGCAAATTCTGTCATTTGACTGGCAGGTTAATTACCAGACAGTCATTATGCTTGCATGAATCAATAACCATTTAGCCCAATAACTTACCCCAGGGTGTGTGCCCTGTGTGTGTCACAGATGAACACAGGCCCTCCCATGCCCAGGCTCCCAAGAGGATTCCATGTGCGCATGCAGCGTGGTTCTGGCATCCCATACAATGGGTATGCTGGAGTATGTATGTTTCTGCATGTTGCTGCGCACCCTCTGCTCTGCCTGCTGACAGCACCTTGCAGGATTAAGCCTGCAGTCCTTCAATAGTCGTTATTCACACTGCAGACACCACAGCTGTATACTGTGCGCATCTCAAACGGAGGGGATGGGGAAGGGGAAAGGGAAGTGAAACTGTCTAACCCATGCAAACTACATTTGTTCCACAGCCCAGTTAAGTCAATGAGGGGGTCATTTGAGTTTTACCCCTGGCCCTAAAATCAGTCCTGTGACTCCAGCTTGAAAAGCAGAAGGAGAAATGTGCACATCCTCTATCAACACTACTCCTGTAATAATTGTTTCCTTTAATAGACCCTTCCATTTGAAGATATCAAAGCACTTTCCTAAGCTTCATATACAGCTGTCTGAGAGTTCCTGGTGAGGTGGCATAGGGTCATTGTCCTCACTGGGAAGGGTTAACCAAGAAAGGAAATGATAACTGAAAATCTGAAACTGAGGCAATAAGGGAAGTGGACACTTCACTATTCTGGCAGAAGATCTGGCCCTGTATGTAACAGCCTTATTATAGCTACTCACCCTGGAAGTTTCTAGCCTAAAAGAATTACTCAAGTAACTTCTACAGGAAATGTGTCAGTGTCTGACATAAAAGCCTATGCCCAAAAAGTCTCAAGCCTGGGTCTTGATTACTGGACTCTGAAAAGACACAGGGATAGGACACCTTTAACTTGATCTTCCTTAACACTCACAGCTTTCTTCCATTGTCTGACTGCTGCAAAGGTGCCATAGCATAAATGCAAATCCAGCTCTGCCTGAACAAAAATGCAAATTTGTTTGTACTGTGGCAGGCACAATGATCTAAGCTGGGGTCTCTAGGTGTGACTGAAAGACAAATAAAGTAAGAGGTCTGGATGTTACTACAGGGCAAACTCAAGTGTATTTCTACACTGCTGTTGTTTTGAGTCTGTCTACATGTTGGCAGTGTGTGCCTGTGTCTGTAGCGTGGGTGTGTGTGTGTCTATCTCTGCACACATTCAGGGATATTTAGGAGAGAGATCTGTGGGAGTTACAGTGTAAATATTTCACTGGAAACCAAAAAAAAAAAAAAACCCAGCGTGTTACTACAGAAACCGATTTACATGGAAGAGCTAAAAAAAACCCTAGTGATGTATTGCAGCCTTAATGGTTTCTATGCCAACCACCTGCAGAGCTAATTCTACAACTGACAAGACGTGTCTGGCTTCCCCGAACCCAGACAAATGGGGAAGGAGCAAAACTGACATAAAGCGCACATCAACGCAAGGCAGATTCAGCTGGGTTGGTTTTATCCTGGTGGTTCCATGCATGTTAGAACAGGGGCCTGGGAGCCAGATCTATGCACCAGGGATCATGTTTGTAGCATCCAAGGCAGAGTTACTCATGAAGAATAATGCTGAGATTGGGGGGGGAGAAGAAGTGGGGGAGCGTGGAGTGAAGAAAGCAAAGTTCCAAGGCAAATAGATCAATGAATTAGAAACCACAACTGGTCTCAGGTTAAAAACTGATCTTGTAGCTATTTCAAAGACTGATGTCTGTGGTCACGGCATTGTCTAAAAAGGACCACAGATTCTCTGGCTAAACTGCCAGAAGATGCAACTCATGAATCCCCTTTCCTGCTAATAGCCATTGGAACCTCTTTCTAAAGCCATCAAGATGTACTGGAAAACACAGGGAAGCTCCTAGCTGTGTCTGCCCCATCATGGCATTTGTCATCCTATATTCTAGCTCTGGTCTTATTTGCATTCTGACAGCACTCAGGGGCTGTGTTATGTTAGGTGATACACACAAACTCAAGAGCAAAATTGTAAGCAGTTTGGGATAGGGACTCTAGGTGTCACGTGCCTGCCAGGGTATTGCTTGGGATGTCACAGAATAGGAAGGATTTTGAACACAGAATAATGGCAGATATATATAGGCTTTAAAAAAAAAAACCAAGCAAACAAAAAACTAAAAGATAATGCTCTTGATTTTATACAAAAATGTCCAGCACTGGCCAAGGGAAGCAATGGATTAGTGTGTCTAATGGGCCTTTCCCCAGTTTGACAGAGCAATGAGTACTTTGCCCCAATTCAGCAAGATACTCTATACTGCTTTCTCTGTCCATATTCTTATATATCCTCATTACCACCATCCAAGGACCCTGCTACTTCAAATACATTTGTTCTCCCAATATCCCCGACAGAGTGGAAAGTGCTGTTATCCCCACTAGAAGACAGGAACTGAGACAAAGAGGCCAGATACTCAAAAGTAGGTATGCCCCCACCTCCACTGATGCCTTGGAGGACCTGTACATAAGTGATTTGCCCAGGGCCACAAAGGAAGTCTGTGGCAGAGCAAGGCTTTAAAAGCAGATCTCCCAAAACTTACAAAAGTACCTATGCTTTACAAAGTGAACAATCGCATGGAAGTTCACGGGGACACTCACATGACATGCTTATGGTTCAGCACATACTTTAGTACCTTGCTAAAGCAGGTCCAGGGTTAAATGCAAAAGCCTTCCAAAGTGACCAGTACATTGGACTCCCAATATGAGACACTATATATGGGGTTTGTGTCTTCTCAAAACTCAGGCCCTTTTCAAGCTGGTATTGCCAAATAAAACCAATGCCCTCCCCAAAAAATCACTAATGACCTGGAGGCAAATGGTGACAGAGTTTAAAACAAAATATCCATTTCTCAATTGAACAAAAGCAAGGATGAGAGATTGTCATAACAGCAGTGCTCACTAGCCCATTAATTTCACAGTCTCAGATTTCACAAGGTAACATCTTATCGTATACTGGGGAAGAGAGGTGGAGAAGTTCTAACAGCAAGATCCCTCACCTGATGCTGAGGAGAGGCCTGGTTTTATGCACTTGAACATCACACATGGGACAGTATTTGTTGGTCTCCAGGTAACGAACAATGCAGGTTTTACAGACTGGGGGGGAAGGAGGGAAGAGAGAGAAAAAAAATTAACAGGATGAAATCCCCAAAAGGGCACATAGGGTGAAATTTATTGCCCCCACCCCCACAATGCAAAAAGCCAACGCAAAGCCTATGCATTGTTTCAGCATTGGCTATAATCAGTTGGCTCCTTAGTGATGCCTAAGCAGGAAATAAAGGTCCACGGCACGTGCTAGGATGCTGTGCCAGGGGTGACATTCATCTACAATTAACAGGTCTATAACAATACGCTAAGGACCATTTTTTTCCTCCCCTCTCCTTATAAACACATTGCAACTGCTTTCATTAGAGTGAAGGTGCTTTTAATCCAGTGGTTAGGAGGTCTGCTACCATGAATCAATAAGAGTGAAATCCCCTATTCCGTTCATCCCTCACAAGAGTGGGGTGCTTCCCAGGCATGACTGTCCCTTCACATGTCACTTCTTTAGGCAAAGGGAAAACATAAAAATAAAAAAATTGGGGAATGTTGGCAGACTGAATCACGCCCCAGGTTCATTGAGGCCAGTACATAAGTATAACCCTGCACTAGACAGATGCAGTCTAGTCTCAAATCCAGTCTCTATTAGAGATTGTTTATCCTTATAGCACATTGTTTAATATCTCTTCCAAAAATGTTACTACTTATATTCAAATATAATATAGTTATACCATACATTTAAATGTCCAGTCCCTTTTTCTTTCATCTCCTGGTCTCAATGACCACTTTGTAGCAATGAGTTCCACTGCTTCAATTGCAGGTGGCATAACAAACGTATTATTCCCTTTCATTCATTCTCAGCTTTCCGCCTTTGAGGAAATCTTCATGTTTGTGTTTCCAGCCAAAGAGCTGCAGCAGTTTTCTTGGGCAATGTGATAAGAAGTTGAGGCCCCCCACGCCCTTCCCAATTCCCTCTTGAAAGTAATCCAAGATAAGTATTTTCAAAAAGTGACTAGTATTTAAAGCACTTCAATATTGAAGCTGTTCCTCATTACAAAGACCTTTCCAGAATACTCAGCTCTTCTTGGAGGAAAAAGAAAAAAAAGGCACCTCCAGTTGGGCATCCAAAAAAAGAAAAACCATTAGCCACTTTTGAAAACTCTTGACAGTTATCATTTGCTGAGCGGAAAGGGATCATCAACAAGATCCTGAACTTAACACCGAGAACAGAGAGAAAGGGATCATCAACAAGATCCTGAACTTAAGTCCGAGAACAGAGCCCTGCCTGTAGCATGAAAGCAAAGAACATTTCCTTAAGGACGGGCAGTCTCCTCTGCTCACTGCCTTCCCTTCCTGGGACACATTGGAGACTTACATGAGTGTAAACATTCCACTATGGTGGTTGCATCAATGAAGTAGCCTCCGCATAAGGCACACATCAAATGGGGATTCAATTCAGTGATCTTTATCCTGGTGGTTCTGTGCATTTTGGATCAGGCTGTGGGCAGATCCTCTCTGGAAATAAAAACACACAAACACACTCCACCATGGCCTGAGGATCATGTAGCAGCAGCTACATGGGCATCCCAATCCTCCAGGAATATTATAGAGACTAGAGTAAGTAATTGGCTAGTGCAAGAGAAGGCAGCATCCCAAAAGGGAATGAAGCAGTCAGTTAAAAACCGCAGAGGTTTTAACATTTATTTAGGAATTATTCACATACACCCCCTCCTTGGATCCTAGTTCCTATGGTCAGGCCTTAAAACAAAATTGTAACAATATAGAGACAAGGGTAAAAGACCTGATATTTGCATTTTAAATGCAACAAAAAAAAAATTCTTTTTCTTTCCATATCCAGCCAGACCCCTAAGCAAAAACACCCTTTCTAAGGGCAATCCTGAGTATGTCAAGGAGACTATTTATGTCTTTGCAGAGCCTGGCAAAATGGGACCCATAGTCTCTGCATTATTTATGGTGTACCACAATATAAATGTAAAATAATAGTAATAGGGGGAAAGATATAAATTCAATGTGAGTTACAGTTTCACAGCCTGGCCCATAATTGCACTGCATCTTTATCAGGAATATTCTCTCCCCCTTTGTTTCCCCACCAAATTTCTTCATCTTGTGTGTGTTAATTTAACAACCTTTTTAACAGACGAAAATCAATTAATATGCAGACAATGCCATTGCTGGCATGGCCCAACCAAAAGAAATGCCACACAGACAACCCTGTCAAGATGTGGAGGGATTAAAAACCAGACACAACCTGCAGGTTTCAGTGGTAGCTTTACATTTCAGCACTGGGAAGAAAGAATAAATCTCAGTTCAAAAACACACAAAGCTCATTTTCCCCCTCCATTAGGATTATGCATGTTATCTAGGTGCAAAAATGGATTAAAATGGACATAAAAGTGACACTCAAAGACAGGAACACTTCTGGGTTATTGATTATCGAGTCCCTTTCCTCATAAATAGTTAACAATGCAGTTTTTCATCCCCTGTATGCCTTCCCTCCAACTACATTTCTTCTGTCACCGTAGGCTCAGGACACATACACATGCACATATACACACGCGCACTCTGCAGTGCCCTCGACTAGGAAGATCAGAGTTGCACCATGCAGCTGGCATTTCCACCCTATCCAGCTAAGGGGGCTGCTGCAGTTTCAGCTTAGCTCTTTGCTGTCCACGTGTCCTCCTCCGTCATTCTCCCCTCAGCTACTGGTGACACGAGATAACAAAGCCGAGGGAGGCTTGCAGTTTCTGCCCTGGTCCTGCCCCCCTTCCCTTCCATGCCATACACCCACTGCCACCCCGCGTGACTCATCCTATTTCAGAAAGCCAAAGGCCCAGAACAAATCAGTTAAATTGTCTAATTGAACATTAACATGCAATTCATTAAACGCACAGGCCTGAAGAAAGGGGGAAGCAGGAAGGGCCTCTGGTGAGCATGCTGCCTGCATCTGTGTGCGCAAGAGGCAAGAAACACCTCCCCCCACATGCACAAAAAAACATACATGGTACATATGACACGCATAGGAGATACCAGACACGCATGAAGCATCTGTCAATGCACACGTACATGCACACACTGCTGCCCCAGTTTGCATCTTCAAAGCACCACATCTCTCTCTCACACAGACACAGTCACACAGGTGTGACACAACATATTCAACACCATGATGCTCCTACAGAGCTGCCTGTACACACGCCTTCCCATCCTGACCTGCACCCCCTCTTGTGCCAATGCAGAGTGCAATATACCAGCTGAGACCCCTAGAAGAAATGCAGCTAACACTTCCATGTACATGCAGGTGGGCAGACTAGACACTCTTTGAAGATGCCAGGCCACCGTATATTTGCAACATGATAGAGACTGGCACGCGCAGCGACACACACACCGACACCGTGCACGACACACAGACAGACAGGCACACACACGCGCACGCACTTGAGTGCCCATGTTACCTGCCACATCCCACGCACGGCCTGGCATTGCAAGACCACGCTGCACCCACCCCACCAGCAGCCTCCCAGGCCCCGGCCCCGATCCCGGTCCCCCTGCACAGGGCCCCTGCCCCGCCCCCGGCCGCTTGCCCACGGCCCAGAGC